ATTACAACATCCTGAGGATGACGTAGTAACGTCGAAACATGTAGAGTCGTCAACATTTTGAAGGCCATAGATAGGCCTAAATAAAATGTTTTTAATTGTGTACCAGTTTAACGTTGAAAATTATTTATGATTTTAGAGTGAATATCTATCGATAGTTTATTGAGAAAATTAAAAATATTAAATAATTAACATTTAGTAAGAAAAGTAAAGACAGTGTTTGTACAGCATTTCCAAATATTTATAAAATGTTACTAAAAACTATACGTACTTGTTGTTTAGTAATGAATATGGGTTTGTTCATGACTATCCAAGTTACTGTTTCGTAACATCCGGGTAAAGTAGTGGAACCATCATATGTAACGTAAAAATCTGTTTTCGGAAGAAGCTCTCGAAACGACAGGTGTTCTATCTTTGCTTCTTGCCCTAAAAATAGATACGTAGAAAAAGTAGTAAATGTGTATACGTTTTTTTTGTTGTTTTTTTTTTGCACGTGCATAATTAACACAATGTTTATTTTAAAAGAGCGTAATTTTCAATATCATGATATTTTGGACTTTTCTCCTGGTACAAAGAAAGATGTGCACGTTTTATGAGAGAACAGATGCAGTACATCATATAATGTTTTATATAACTAAATGTTTTGTCGAAAATACTATTATTGTCTCAAATCTTATCAAAGCTCCCCCCCCCCTCAAATCGATCGATCATACGAAACGCATAAAAGAGGGGGAAAAAGAAACAAAACGAAATCGCACTGTAATCTCGGGTGTCTGTAGACTGTAGTTATTTTTTTTTTCGGGTCCAACCTCAGATGGTCTGTAATAGCCTATTTACGTGAGCTTAATGTCGTAGGCGATTCTTTATGTCGGCCAGTAGATAGCTGATGTCAATAAAACTTGTCATTCATCATCGGTTCGTGCTCTGGTTAAAAGACGAAGGTTCCATAAAATCAAGTTCGAAATAATATTACCTTTTTATATAGAGTGTTCAAGCTTATGTATGCTATATGATCTATGAACAATAACAATTCAGAATTTCACTTTACTTTTGAAGCTTTGGGTTATTTAGGGTCAGAATCACTTGATGTAAAAGAAATGAACGAAATGACTACATAATAAACTATACACATAAAATTCAACTTTCTGGTTAATACACATGTTTTATTCATCGTGTTGCTTAACTGGTTAGAGGAATTTACTAGAAAATCAAAATACCACGTACAGGAGTGTCTCACCAAAGGGAATAAACAGTGGCTCTCGTTCTAATTCAGGATTGTTTCACCAAATTGAGCAAGAATGTCTCTTATCCTAATTCAGGAGTAACTCGCCAAATGGAAAAAAGAGTGTCTCTTATCCTGATTCAGGAGTATCTCGCCAAATAGAATAAGAGTGTCTCATATTTTAATTCAAGGGTGTTTCATCAAATAGAGCAAGAGCAGCTCTTATCCTAATTCAAGGGTGTTTCATCAAATAGAGCAAGAGCAGCTCTTATCCTAATTCAGGCGTGTTTCATCAAATAGAGCAAGAGCAGCTCTTATCCTAATTCAAGGGTGTTTCATCAAATAGAGCAAGAGCAGCTCTTATCCTAATTCAAGGGTGTTTCATCAAGTAGAGCAAGAGCAGCTCTTATCCTAATTCAGGCGTGTTTCATCAAATAGAGCAAGAGCAGCTCTTATTCTAATTCAGGAGTATCTCGCCAAATAGAAGAAAAGTGTCTCTTATCCTAATTCAGGAGTATCTCACCAAATGTAACAAGAGTGGTTCTTATCCTATATGCTATTCACTTTTTTTTTCTTGGCAATAGATTAATACACCTCTTCAACTGATATCCATGTAATAATAATTAATACCTCATCATTTTGACGCCTAAACGATTCTATAATCAGATTAAATGCTCCTCCAACAAAAAATTATAATGAAATCTCACATGAGGGCGAGGGTGTTTTAGATATAGAATAATGAAATAATTCAACAAGGTGACTTGGATCAGTGTTTACAAATTTCAAATATTATAATTTATTATGTTGATTATTGATACGTCATCGTAGCATAAAAATAACAAATATAGGCCGTTTAATAATCTTAATAACAGTATTGATTAGCATATCGTGCAGTTGTCGTTTTCGAAGGGTCAAAATGAGCTTTAAGAAAATGAACATTCACTTAAGCTCCTTTCAGCGATAACGTATACAGACTTTTCTTCAAACTCAGTATTTTTTAAAGTACGGCTGCTTAGAAGAAAATATTTAACAGTGAAAAGCGTTATAACCATGACTACCAGCCAGCTTATTTGCAATCAAAGTGCACCGTCTTTTCTAAGCAGACTATAAAACAAGAAAAGAAAAACGTAATTCCAATGGATTCAGGAACGTGGACTCACACATCCATGGATAATCCTCATCCAAGTGGACCTACCTCAACATGCAGATCAACTATGACGAAGTTTTGTACTAGATAACCTGGCAAGCTTTAGGATGTCTGGGAAATACATCAATAATAGTTTATGGCAAAAAAAAAAGAAGAACATATTAGAAAGCTAAATAAAATCCTCTGAAACAGCAATATGTAGAAAACTTTAGAAAAGTCGGTCAGTTATTGACAATTGAATAAATTGTTCGCAACAACGACTCTGAACCGCCCACGACCTTTGGATGATGTGGAATAACATAAACAGTTATGTTTATTTCATGATGGATAATTTTTTTTAATTTTTTTGAAAACAATTCTATATAAGTAGTTATATTTTTACATCTATTTGATTTGAACAGTATGAGTTAATACAGTTATAATTACTATGATAGTTTGAAATTAAAGATATAATTGAGATATTTAACGATACACAGTTTTTAAGGTGTAATCGTATTACACTCCTCTACCAAAACGTTTAAAACTGAAAATTCCTCTATTTGTAAGTTAATGTTATCTAAATTATCATACCCTTTGATATGTGATCATACCCTATGTGATCATAGTTTTAAAATATTAGGAGATTTTAAATACATACGTGGTTATAATCTTAATTTCTTGGGAAACTCAACGTCATTAGGGCAATTAGTCTGAATTTATGTGATGTTCCTATAAGGTGCAATAAACACATAATAATGTGTATTGAAATTCAGTCGTATTTATAACACCATTTTTCTTCATGATGCATTTTTAAAAAGGTATTGTGACAATTGATTCTTATAGAAAATTGATTTTGTACATAATTATGTATTTAAATGGCCTCATCTGGAACAATTTATTATTTATTTATTGTGATCTCGTATGGTACGAGATAGTGATTAGTTTAGTAATCTCAGCTGGTAGGAGACACTGATCTGGTCTGATACGAGATATTGATTAGTTTAGTAATCTCGGCTGGTAGGAGATACTGATCTGGTCTGATACAAGATAGTGATTAGTTTAGTAATCTCAGCTGGTAGGGGGATATTGATCTGGTCTGGTACGAGATAGTGATTAGTGTAGTAATCTCAGCTGGTAGGAGACAGTGATCTGGTCTGGAACGAGATAGTGATTAGTTTAGTAATCTCAGCTGATAGGAGATACTGATTAATTTACTGATCTGGTCTGGTGCGATATATTGATTAGTTTAGTAATCTCAGCTGATAGGAGATACTGATTAATTTACTGATCTGGTCTGAAACGAGATAGTGATTAGTTTAGTAATCTCAGCTGATAGGAGATACTGATTAATTTACTGATCTGGGCTGGTACGATATATTGATTATTTTAGTGATGTCATCTGGTACGAGATGTGATTTGTTTTAGTGATCTGGTCTGTAAGGAGATAGTGTTTGTTTCAGTGATATCACCTGGTGTGAAATTGTTCAATTTAGTAATATCACCTGGTAGGAGACAGAGTTCATTTTAGTGATCTGGTCTGTAAGGAGATAGTGTTTGTTTCAGTGTGAATATAATTTGTTTGCTGAAATCGATTATTTGTCTGACAACAATAACAAATCAGAACATTTTGCACGTATGAACACCAATACCTGTTCTTTAAATAATAATTAAATTTGTTAATTTTCCTTGTATACACTAAATAATAATGTTCCTGAAATAAAACACTTACCTCTAAAAGTGATTTCATCTAATTTGCTCGTAACAATCCTTAGCTCTGCGTTTGATAGGTCTCCAGACTGAAAGGCACAATGAAATTTAAAAGGAAGTAAATTATAATTAAATGTAAAAAAATCGTCAAGAATATATAGTCATTAAAGCATACGCGAAATAACGATAGTTTAGAATATGCGTCTAAAGAAAGACGTAGAAGAATATTGTTTTTTATTTTAAAGGGTCTTGCAGAGTTTTTACCTTTTGTGAGGCAAATATTTCTCGAAACATTTAGAATACATTATGAAGTTCGTGTGTTCGAAAGTTATCAAACACAGAACTGTAAGAGTAAGTGTAAATAACCAGTTCTATCTTCACTAGAGTTATAAGTGTAAAAAAGACGGCAGTATCTTCCCTAAAAGTATAAGTAGACAATTGTATTGTAACGAATTTATTATCATATATTTATTTTAATATCAACGTTTCTTTAGATTAAATTTATATTTAGAAACATACATAGCTCATAGTGTTAAGTATGTATTACGAAATTCCCACCTATTCTCCAAAGTTGTAGAAGTTTCTCAAGAGTAAGAATCAACAATATATGTGTGTACGTAAACGCTTTAATTTGTATTGTTACGTAAAACTGAAATTTCTAGAACGCCTCCACAAGGCTTCAAATTAACCAACGCGACGCGCCTAAGAGAGTATCTATTATTAGTTCGCTATAGTCAGTGTGTTATAAAACTCCGGAAGCTATAACTATGATTGTTATAACGCTTATCAATTGGAAAACTTCAGATATTTGACCAGAAACCTTCACAAAGTTCGAACATTGCAAATCGTTTAACTTCAGTGGATTCTCATCGGACATTAGTATTTTTACGAACACATTATCTAACGTCACCGATAGGAAAATATTGGCGTGCGTGGCTAGTAAATAACGGAAGACAAAGCTAGCTAGCTTCCCGTTAAGCGAATCGTACCTACATCAACTCGTAATTAATTCGCTCATTGTGGACCCTCAATAAGATATCAAGGAAGTACCAGACTAGAAAAAAGACTTTATATTGCTTGTAAGTTTGTGAAACTTTTGGTTATAAATCATTGTTTGTAGTAACTATTTGTAATAATTGTTATTGTAAATTGTACTGTTGTGTGTATATTAAAACGTATTTGTGTTAAAAACGAAAACTGTGTATCAATCTTGTTGGCAAATATCATAAACTATATATCGGCTTTTACTCAAATACTAAATCCAAAGTACAATTTAACTACTAAATTTAAATTTATAAATCAACTCAATTTCAGGCTATTTGAAATTCTAATACGTAACGGTATCTTCAGTAGACTTGTAAATGCAAATAGATAGTTTCAACTTCAGTAGGCCTGTGAAAATAAGTAGACAGTTGAATCTCCTGTAGATAAATCTCTAAGTATTAAAAGATGTATTTTCAATGGACCTGTAAATGTAAGTGCACAGTTGTATTTTTAGTAGACCTCTAAATGTAAGAATACAGTGATATTTCAGTAGATCTGTGAAAATAACTAGGCAGTTGTATCTTCTGTAGATAGACCTCTATACATAAAAAATCAGTGGTATCTTCAGTAGACATGTAAATGTAAGAAAACAGTGGTATCTTCAGTAGACCTATAAATATAAGTAAACAGTTGTATCTTCTCTAGATAATCCTCTAAACGTAAGAAGACAGTGGTGTCTTCAGTAAACCCATAAATGTAAGTACATAGTTCTATCTTCAGTAGAGCTATAATTGTAAGTACACAGTTCTATCTTCAGTAGACCTATAAATGTAAGTGCGCAGTTCTATCTTCAGTAGATCTATAAATCTAAGAAGACAGTGGTGACTTCAGTAGAGCTATAATTGTAAGTACATAGTTCTATCTTCAGTAGACCTATAAATGTAAGTAGAAAGTTGTATCTTCTGTAGTCCTATAAATGTAAGTAGAAAGTTGTATCTTCTGTAGTCCTATAAATGTAAGTACACAGTGGTGACTTCAGTAGACCTATAAACGTAAGTATACAGTTGTATCTTCTGTAGTCCTATAAATGTAAGTAGAAAGTTGTATCTTCTGTAGTCCTATAAATGTAAGTAGAAAGTTGTATCTTCTGTAGTCCTATAAATGTAAGTAGAAAGTTGTATCTTAAATAGACAGCTCTATCTTGAATAGACGTTATCATCACTCTTCAGTGTTTTGTACTCCATTCCATAAAATTCAAATGTTTGTGGGATGTGAAAATTTGTTTAGCTGAAAATTCGGTTATACGTTTCTCTTTGTAATCAACGCTGCTGCTAAAAGTAAAAAATACTTGTGTGCTTCTAATTACTGGTTATTCACATTATACAATATTTATAAAGCGGTATAGTTAATAAACTGGCATTTAAGAACATGTTAAATATATATATGTATTACAAAAATAATTATATAGCTAACTACTTACCCGTTTGTTTTTCATTAGGCACAGCTTAGAAAGCTCCACCTATTATATCATCACCGATTATATTCTAATTGACGAACACAGATATTGTGCAAGTTAAATTTAATTAAAAAAGCGAAACTGCCAGAAAATTCTACTTAGATGCTGTTTATTTAAGTGACTGAAATATGTTTTTTCTATTTGTTTTTTAACTCATACAATTTAGCTGTGAACTGCTATAAAAATGAATTTGGTATCATAAAACTTTTAAAACTTTCGTAATAAATGTAATTTCACATATAAGTGCACAGTAATTTTTCAGCTCAATGGTTCATTGAGTCTTAGAAAAGATGAATAGATCGAAATTTTACACTCACCACAAACCAATTTCAGTTAGTAAATGTTGAAATAGTTATATATTGACTCTTTTAATTTAATTTACCTTCATACAACGTTAAACAGTTAACGCACGTACACCAAAACATATCTAGTTCAGGCCATAGGAACGCGTCAGGTGTAACTGCCGAATGTTTAAAATCGAAGCAGTCTACTAGAAAGCAAACACTACATAGTTATTACAGATCACTTTTGAGTTCCCTAAATATCTGAGTTAGTGAAAATGAAATAAATACAATGAACACAATGAGAAGCATTTATTAATATCACAAACACAAACATAGTGTTTATTCTTGTGTTGGATGCTGGATAGTCGCATTTACTGGATCATAATACTATTACGGATGAGATACTGAGCTAAACGTTTTAGGTCGAGATCGTGTATCAGATGCTATATTACAATATGAAGATAGAAAACGCATGGTGTACATATATACCACACTTTTCCTCGCCTCTTTACTTCATGTTTGTCTTCAAGCGACCACTTAAGTTTAACTTCAAACTAATAAAATCAACTCAAAGGCACTGGTCAAAGAGTAGGTAAATGTCTCTCACGTCTATTAACACTTACACACAACACAGACACCCTTTAACAAAGATAATAAATCGAAATTTCATACGAAAAACTTCTTTAACAATGAATGTAGAACAAAATTAAAACTGCTTTAACAAATAAACTAAATACATAACCAAAAAACTTTCAACAATAACGAACAATTCAACCTAAATTTTACATAATAGAAAATTACATTTTGATACAGCACATAATATCAATGTAAGCCCTTTAACAATGATATGTGATACATAGTTCCTCATCAGAACATTCTTTAACACAGAATTAAAAAGAACATAAATACAATATAAACTCTTAATAAAACAGAATTAAACACATAAAGCAAACCTTTCATATAATAAACACACAAATTCAATCCTTAATCTATCGTATAATTAAAAAGAATGAGAACTAATAACACAGTTACAAACACAAAATTACCCTAAATAAAAATAATAAATATTTTCATATTTCTCTAGGCCCTTTAACTAAAACAGGACTAAACATAGCAAAACATTCAATAACCCTTATTCAATAACAACAATACAGTACACAATCATATATAGAAAAATAAACCCTTCACAATAGATCACAAAACCAAATATGAAAAAATAATACCATGTTATAAAAAGTCAACATATACAGTACTGAAAATGTACAATAAATTATCCTTTAAATAATATCTACTTTCATAACTATACAATCCAACCCCAATAAATTGGGAGACTGTCGATATTCATACAATTTACAGCAGTTACATTCAAGTACAATTCACACCAACGTAGAATATACAAATACCCAATGGCAAGCATAATATCCAACTTACCTCACCTCATCTCACCTAAACCCTATCCACAGACCCTCTAATGAGGCAGTTGACTGGTCATGGTAGCAACCCACATGTATATTGGTCCTAGACAAAATATTTCCTCTTCCAGGTTGTAGTGTAAAGTGTCCCTCCAATACAGCTGGTTCTCCTCGCAGTTACACAATAGCTAGGTTTCCATCCATTCTGTGACCCTCTCCTTGCAATGCTGTTTCAGTAGTTGAATCTGCTACAAGGGTAGTTGTGCAGTGTTGGTGGCAGATGAGGATCTTAGAAGGTCAATCCTCGGCTGCCTTTGAGATAACCTGTGTGCTCATGCCTATATCCCCTCATAGAATATGTATTCCTAACACGTGTGAATTTCTTGTTTCACAGGCTTAAATGGGTCTCTGCTTGGTCAATGCCTATAGCTGTGCTGCCTCTATTATTATTCCTGACAAAGGTAAAACCCTTTGACTCAGATGATTTCCCTTCACTACTATCTGGTTGTTTCATAAACGAGCCTAGGTGCAGATGTCAACCTCAACATTTGACCATTAGAATCTACTAATGTTTAGATTATCTTTCCCTTGTGACTTTCTTCTTGTTACAACTTTAGTACTAGCTAAGTGCAATTTACAAAGCTTCACCATGCAATTGTTATTTTCCATCTATGGCAGCCCTCATTTTAAACATCTTAAACTGCACCTTCCACTGAAACAATGTTAATACAATATTTAAAACTATATGCTTATTTACAACTCATAGTTTCGTCCACACATAAATATTTCAATTCATAGCAATGTGAGTTTCTTTCTTAGTCATATTTTTCCATGAAAATTCACTAAAACTGAATGTTTCAATGTCAAAATTAATCATTTTTTCATAAGTATTA